CCCCCGCACATGTCCCCCTCTACATGTCCCAATCTGTCCCTCTGTGCCCCCCCCGCTGCCCCCTCTGCCCCTTCCCACAGCCCCCCACCACGTGCACTCACACACCCAGCCATATCCTCGTGCGCTCACACCTCCCCGTGCAAAACACACGTGTGCTCCCATACAAGCACACACACACACACACGAGGATGAGCACCATCAGCACACCGCCCCCCCTCTTCCCTGTCCCCCCCCACCCCTCCTTGCTCACCTGCTCAGCCCCATGCAGCTCCCTCATCTCCACAGCCTGCTGCCCCTGCAGCAGCGCGCGATGCTCCCCATCCGTCTGCTCCCCATCCCAGTGCTGCAGCTGCGCCGCCGGCAGCGTCCACACCGACTCAGCCTCACTGGGGTGCCTGCAAGGCCACAACAGCTGCCACCGAGCCCTGACACCCCGGTGGGGGTGTGGACACAGCCTTGGAAGTGGGGGGGGGAGGACACCCCGCCGGGGATCCATGCGTACTTGTGCTGCAGCAGCAGCGCCCGCAGGACGTCCTCCCGGTGCTGCGGCTTCAGCTGCCCCTCGTAGATGAGCTGATCCAGCAGTGTGTGGGCCACGGCTGCCAGCGAGGTGGCTGCCACGTCGAACAGCATGATGCCTGCAGGATGGGCACCACATTTTGGCACCACATTTTGGCACCACGTTTTGGCACCACGTCTTGGCACGGGGTTGGCACCGCACATCGCCGTGCCCGCATCCCCCAACGCACAACGCGGGCTCCCCACCTTTGGCGAAGGCACGGTGCAGCTCCAGCAGGCCGTGGTAGGTGAGCAGGGGGAGGTGGCTGCTCCAGGTCCCCCCCGGCTCCATGCTCTCCTCCAGATGCAGCCAGCGCCCAGCTTCCATCCAGCACAGCTCCTTCTTGCTGTCCAGCACCAACTCGTGCAGCTCCACGTACCCCTGCGGTCACCGCGTGTCACCCGCTGCACTGATGCTGCCCACCCACCCACTGCGGCCACGACCCCCCATCATTGTCCCCGTTGGTGCCGATGGGATGGGGAAGGGGGGGTCCCGGTGTTCGCAGCACCCACCTCATGGGTGTCCCTCTGGGCCGTGGGCTGCCTGCTCCCCGTGGCCTCCAGGTCCACATCGTTCACCGATGGAGCTGTGAGCGGAGCGGGCGCCGTGTCAGCAGGTCCCACCCAGCCCCAGTGGGGTCTGCAGGGTGTCCCCCCCACCCCACCCCCCACCTCCACCGCTCCATCGCCCCTCTGCAGTGCCCAGCAGCGGGGTGGGCTGACAGCCCCATTGCCACGCTCAGCCCCAGCCCCCAACCCGGGCACCTGGACCACGACGGGGACACGGCGTCCCCTCACCTAACGGCCTGGTGTCCCCCGTCCCCATCCCCTGCCTACCTGCTCCCCCCCGCTCTCCCCACACACTCCGGCCCTATAAAGCCCCTCTGCGTGCGGCCGGCCGGCCCCACACCCTGTGTGCACCATAAACCCCAAAGCACTTTGCTCCTGCTGACAGTAAACAGTGGCGCAGCCCCCGGGGCGGGGGGGGGTCACCTCACCCCCTCACCCGCAGCACCCACACCGCGGACCCCCGCGGTCCCCTGTATGATGTGCCAGGCCCTGCTGACACCGCATCCATCCCTGCCACGATGAGAGCAACGCCACCGATGGGACGGGGTGCGCGTCCCCACGGCTGTCCCCTATGGCACACGGTGCGCACCGAGCCGTCCTTGTCACCACGGAGCCGCCCGGCGCCGGACGGCGCTCAGCCCCGAGTGGTTCCTGTCCTCACCCCAAACACGGCTCTGTTTACCCTCAATCAATGGGCGATCAGGACAAGCGACCGCGGTCACCCCGCTGTGCCACCCCACGGCGGCAGAGGGACCTGGAGGGGGGTTGGGACGCACAAATATCTCCGTGTTCCCCCCCATTCCCCCCACCCTCCCACAACCTCCCCGCTCTCACTCACTCTGCCCTCTGCCACCGTCCCGTTCCGGGGGGGCCCCGACCTCGCGCCTCCTCCCGTCCACATCATAGGATCCCCGGTGGCTGGGCAGAAAGCGGCTGCAAAACACACAGCGCTCAGCGCCCGGTGCCAACGTGGGGGAGGGGGGGTCATCCTGGGGGGGGGCCGTGAGTGGGAGCGACTCACCGCAGCGGGGACAGCTGCTCAGCTCTCGCCCTCTGCAGAGGGGACCCAATGTCTCCAACAGCCCCTGCGCACAACGGGCAGCAGCGTTATGGGGGCGGCCACCGCCTGGCCCACGGCCACCTGCTGGCACCCAGCAAACCTGGCACCTGAGCAACACCGGCACCGTGCAACGCCGGCACCGTGCAACGCCATGCAACACCAGCACCATGCAACGCCAGCACCTTGCAATGCCAGCACCGTGCAATGCAGGTGTTTGTGCATCACTGCTGCTCATGCAACGTTGGCATCCGGGCAAGGTGGGTGTTTGTGCAGCTCTAGAGCCCATGCAACGCATCTGTGCAACGCTGGTGCCCGTGCAAATCTGGCTCTCGTGCATTGATGGAATACATGCAGCATCTGTGTCCATGCAGTGCTGGTGCTCGTGCAAAGCTGCTGCCTTGCAGTGCTGCTGCCCTATGCCAACACTGGCACTCTTACACTGCTGGCACCCATGCAACACCGTCACCCACACAACGCTGGTGCAACACTGGCACTCGTGCAATACCAGTGCCCATGCAACACTGGTGCCCGTGCCAGGCACCCCTGCAACATTCCTATGCAACACCACTGCCCGTGCAGTGCACCAGCACCACACCAGTACCCGTGCAACACAACACCCGTGCAACAGCAGCACCGACAGCACGGCAACAGCTCAGCCCCAGCAGCACCCGCACAGCACCGCTGCCCATATGGGGTCACACAACCCCACAAACCCACAGCACCCACACAGCACTGCTGCACGTGCCATGCCCCTCCACGCAGCGCTGTCCCCTCTGCCCACCCCACAACCCCCCAGCCATCAGTGCCACTCACTGCTCATCCCCCCCAGGGAAATCCTGGAACCCTTGGTGTCCTCGTAACCCTCGGGGTCCAGGCTCCTGCGTAGCGCGTCCTCGGTGTCCTGTGGGCACACGGAGGGGGGGTCAGTGGGGTCATGGGGGGC